ATGTTGTGTTTGTTTGCGTTTGTCTTATTCGTGATGGTGCTTCAAACTAGTAGCAGAGCATTGCGAGTTCACGACTCACGCCATCGCGTCTTACACTTTTCATATGCAATGTGGACATCCATCTTACGCGAATAGTTGTATCGCGTTCACACTCTAGATATCTCTAATTTTTGAATTTCGAGATAAATTAAGGTTAACTTTGTCCTAAGCAAATCTTGAGTAAAATTCAGTAGTATAAGTTTTGAAATGGATCCTTGTAAAGCAGGCCTTCAATAATTTACCACCGCAAAAAATACGAAATACGAAAGAAAATGTACCGCGGGCTTTGTAACCTTTGTCAAAATCGTAGAATTTGTTCTTCCGTATTTATACTTTTTGCAGTGACAAATCATTGAAATCCCTTACAGGGTATAGTTAAAGTTATCCATTCATTGCATATGCGCCTTAATGCTGAAAAGAATTCGATATCCAAAGAAAATAGATACCTAGCGAGATGCGTTTGCTGTATTAGTATCTAGTAGTTTCCGGCGGTAGTGCACGCAAAGGTGGACTAAGGTCACCCCTAGCACCATGCGGTTTAAGAAAAAATGGAGCCCCCCTTCTGTAACTCGTTTTGTAAGGCATGTCACTTCATTTTGTCAAGCTCTGTGAGAAATAGCCACGTTAAGCTCATGTCGTCGGCTTTTCTCGTTTACTGAAACCGCACGCATCTCATACTTCGGCATTTTGCCGTCAAAGGTTGGAATGATTGGATTACGAAATTCGAACCAAGGGCGCTACCGGTCTCGTGATGGGAGTCAAGCGATATGTTTATGCTGGAACTGAGGGACCGCCTCAGTCAGATAGCGTTTCACCCAACGTTGCTGAAAGTTCATAGGCATCCGCCAGTCGGATGCAGCGGATGGATGCACTTTATGCGCTTATTCTGGAGGAATGCAATGACGGCTGCTGCAGGCTCCACATTTCAGCATTAGTGTTTTCCTACGCAGAGTGTTTTGCTATACTGCCGTGCTAAGGTAAAACGCCGTATGAACATTCGATAGATGCGAAATTTCCTTCACTAAAATGTTTATTTTTGAGGAAAAATATGAATATTTTCTCTTGAAATTTTCAGGGACTTCAGATCAAAACATGAACAAAATTCTCTGAAAAATTGGAAAATGAATGTTCATAAGTTGACCACCGAAATGCGTGTTTTACCAAGAGAAATCTGGCAACGTCTAAAAGCGTACACGGCGTTTTTCCTTAGCACGGCAGTATACGTCTGCCATGGCACAATTTGTCTCTATTGATAACGCATCAGAAATGAGGGGCTTAGAGGAGTACGCGCATATGTTCAGTTTTTGCTATTTTGAGAAATACGTGTTTGAAGTTTCGAAATTACATGGATCCTTATGGCGGAAAAAAGTTTGAACTGACTTTTTGATGCTTCAAACTTGGCACCTTCATGCTTTTCAAAACCTTCATGAGCAAGGCATTACAAAAAAAAGTTCCAAAATATCCAAGATCAAATTTTATAAAAATAAAAGGTTGAATAAATATTTTGAAATAAAAATTCTCCGCCATCTCTTTTCTTTCTTGCCGCCTCCGATTTGCTTCCTCGCTCGAAGAGGCGGATTATACTTTTAAAAAGCGTGGAAAAAAAACCTCCTGCGGCAACAGTGACGATCTGACTCAAATCAGAGAAACCGGTTCAGATCGCTTACAATGAAGCTCGTGTTAAGTTTGTATTAGAATTCAGATTGGGATCGATTCCTGCAAGATTGATCTCCAGTTGGACTGCATTTTGCAATTTGGAACTATAAATTGTGGCTCTTCCGGAAAAACACTTATGTGCATAGGGAAACTAATGGCACATACGTTGTTTTTAAAAAACGGGCCGGGATTTATAGTTCAAAATTGCAAAATGTAGTCCAATCCCTCTTCGGGCATAGGAGATGGGCAAAATTCGACTTTTTTAGGGGGTGACTGGGGAACCAGCTGGCCGATTGTTGAATCGTTATCAAATTGACTACATTTTGCAATTCGGAACTATAATTCCTGGCTTATCTGTAAAAAAAACATACGTGCATAAAAAAACTGATTTTTCAACCAATGGGATAGCTCCATACTCCCTATATCTTCTTTGTCTATCGCCTTGTCTATCAATTACAATAATCAGCCCAATTGGCAGGGCCAATTCTTGAAAGTTAGCAACACTTTGTTCTCTCCATGTACATTTACGAAAAAAATCGATTCTCGTTGAGGCAGCTAGGATCGATTATTTTAATGGATTTGAATGGAGGAAATCAATGTTGTCACCTTACAAGAATCGCCATCGCATTTCATCGTTCACTGGGCTTGGAAACTGGTGTGCATCTGTATTATACTGCACTGGGCGCTCAAAATGTATGGTAAAAAACTCGGAGCATCATATGGCAACGACTAAATTCGCATCAATTTGAGGATTTGTTATTCATGACAAGAACGCGGGCGTTAATTCATAATTTATGTCCGCCAAAATGGCATTCTTTTGGCGTGAGCTGTTCCTGCAATTCTTCGTAAACTCCAGTGCTTATTGGTCATTTTTCTTTCGCCTTTTCAAATAAATCCGAGGGAACAATACTGCCTTGCTGAGGAAGAACGCCGTATGAACATTCAAGAGTTGCCAAATTTCCTCGCATATGACGTGTATTTTTTAGGAAGGTGATGCATATTTATCCTTAAAATTTTCAGATATATTAGATTGAATTGGAAACAAAATTGTCTGAAAGATTTAAATAATATACTCACAATATTTTTCACAGTTTTTTATTGAAGGGATTTTGTCAACGCCTTAAGGTTCATACGGCGTTTTTCCTTAGCATGGCGGAATACTGCTCTGCTAACTAACCATCGCACGTGGCTGCAATGTAATTTTTTTGCAAATACTGCCATATTACGGAAAAACTTCGTTGAGCCATCAGGCGTTGCCAAATCTTCTTCGACAAATTACGCATTTTCAGGAAAATTTGTGTATACTTCTCTTCCAATTTTTCAAAGGATTTTGTTCCTAATTTGATCTAAAAACTCTGAAAATTTCAAGGACAAATCTGCATAATTTTCTTCCAAAATAATTCTTTTCTGAGAGGAAATTTGGCAACATTCGAATGCTCATACGGTTTTTTTACTTAGCACGGCAGATAGAAGGTCGAGAGGTGTATGATTGAATCTTCTTTACGCAGTGGCATGTCTTTGCTCCTCTAACGTCAGGGCGTGCGTATCTCTATTTCCATTTGAGCCACGAAAAGCATAGAGTTATACGGAGAATACTGGCTTGCTACGAAAAAAACGCCGTATGAACCTTCAGGCGTTGCCAAATTTCCTTTGATTAATTACGAATTTCCTGGTAAAATTATGAATATTTTCCTTCCAATTCGTTCAGTTTATTTTCTTCGCAATCTCACCTAAAGTCCCTGAAAAATTCAAGGAAAACTGTTCATAACTGCGCAAAAATAAAAATTAATGACGAAAATTTGGCAACTTTCGAATGTTCATACGGTTTTTGTCCGGCTTCAGCAGAACAGGGCACATGTGGAAATTGAAATACATCCTTACGCCAGAGGAGCGACGATATGAGAGAACGTGTAGATTTTTCAACACGATTTAGCAACCAGAGGCAGATTACAATAAGTAGTCTGAAGAATGTATTACCGGGTGTCAAAGTTGACTCAAAGCTCTGTTTCGCAAATCCCCTATCGCACCCTCCCCTCATTTTTCAAAGGTGCTTTTCCGTTGGGAGGTTTGAAAAGATTTGTCTTGTTTTTTAGCTTAACAATTTGTCAGATATATCGCAAAGCACGACACGTCACTGAGATTCACCTCGATAGATCGTATTCAATAGTGGTTCGATGTATCGTATGGTTTGAAACAATAAATCATAACCTCAGACAAAAATTTTAGGATATACATGAGAAAAGCTGAAAATGAGAAAATTCCTTACAATTTCACTTTCCATTGCCATTTTATAATCATAAGAATAAAACACCTATTGCAAGAAACCCGTTCCTTCAGACCACTCATCGACTTTTGAGGCTATGTTTATATGTTGAACCAATTGATATCGATACAATCTCACCTGTGTGATGCCGTCACCTTGCGGCCAAAGTATCACAAGCGCCATGCGACGTTCCAAAATTTCCGCCGCCATTTTATTTTTTTACAGTGAATTGTTGGTTGAATCTATTTGAAAATTTCACAGTATTTATCGGCAGCACAAAGAAACTTCAGTGATATTTGCTCAATGACAGCTTCGTTGAAATATTTCCATGGGAAAAAAGAAAATGGCGGCGGAAATTGTGTGACGTCGCAAGGCGCTTGTGATACTTTGGCCGGAAGGTGACGATGTATCGAATATGATCAATTGGACGGAGTTAAACAGAAAGGAACCAAGCCACATCGGGATCGAACCGAGAAAAAAAGGTTTAAAGTTTGGCTCCTGCATAAGACTCAATTGTAAAAGATAAACTTCAAGTTCAATTTCTGCAAAATTTGCTCCAACAAAAATTTTGAATTTTTGGCGATCGATAGTAGAGCAGTGGTTGAGTTCAAAACCACTCATAACTAAATGTTTTCCAAAATGTGGGTTAGTTCCAAGACCAATCCACACAGGTCAGTCATTCCCGTGGACGAGTTTTGGTACTCTACTGCGCAGTGACGTACTATTGAGTGCTTGCAATGTATTTCTATTGGGAGCACTCATTGTGATGTAGCATGGAGTGCTGCGAGTTAGGGCCGGGCGGGGAAGTGGCTCTCAAAAAGATGCGCAATGACTGACCTGTGTGGATTGGTCTTGGTGGGTTCCTTTCTGCTTAACTTGATCCAATTTTATTTGATTAAAATGCCGTAATATTTCAACTAAGAACTCGGATTTGTGTTTGTTTCAGATGGGATGCGAGGAGTGGGAGTGGGTAGTGCGGTGGGTGTTGGTGGTGGCGTGGCTGGTGGAGGTGGTGGGGCGGGGGCAGG